GGAAGACCTCTTTTAAAAAGTAAATTTTTATGGCTAAAATTAACTATCAAAAACATTAAAAATATTCCTAAAGGAAAAAGACATCTTTTCCCCCTGGTAAATAAGTAAATAAATAACAGCATAAATAGGCCTTCTAAATTTTACATTGCTATATGTACAAACTTACTTTTATTCATAAAACTCCTTGGACTTTTTGTTCTTCTTGCATGGTGTTCCAACTCAACAAAAATTTGTCCGTTTTTTCTCTCCAAATTTTTAGCATTGAGCTGTGGGCTGGGTATGGAGGGAGGGGTCCTCAACGGAGGAACTTTCCTCAGTGTGTCGTTACACCTTCTGGTGTAACCTTGCATCTGGGCTGAGGCACTTTGTACGCGGTACGGCATACGACCTGCTGACCTTTCCACCTGGAATTTTCAAACATAAAAAAATTTGACATAAAATACAACTTTTTAAAAATTAAATTAATCTGTAATGAGTAATTCAGTTAAAAAAGTGTAATTTTAGTAGTTTGAGCTGGGAAAAAAAGCTACCTTTGTGCTCTTCATGTGAGATGTCAAGTCTTGATGTGTTTCTTCTGGTTCTAGATGTACCTCAGAAAAGTGATGGTCTGTAGGCCCTCTAGTCTGCTGTCTGTTCTAGAGATCAGTATAGAAAGTGTACATTAGTATTCAGGTGGAACACAATTTTAAAAAATCCCTGAAATTAATATCAGCTATTCAATACATTTGAAAGTTCAGCTTTTAGTTATTTACTTAAGAGTGAAAGTACTCAGCCTATACAAGAAAACACATGATTGATGGGACAATAACAACTCCTATGCATAAATACTTTCTACAAAAATACAGCAGAGAATAATTTTATAAATTATATGAAGTGATTATAGGACAAATAAAACCTAACAAGAAAATTAGTTATATTCGTTTGAATACAAAGTTGGACATTTGGCTTATTACAGGTAAATTTGATCTGGCAATCTCTATTCCATCCACACAGCAATAACATAAGAAAAATGGATTCAATTTTATCCAGTTGACACAACAATAACATAAGAAAAGTGGATACAAATTTATACATCCCACACAGAAATAACATGAGGATTAAAATATATCCAGCCCACCTAACAACAACTTACTTTTATCTTCTGCTCTGTTAGTAAAATCCATTCGCTAAAATTAGACTGTGTCAGGGATGAACTAGGGCTTTGTCGTCCTTGTTGAGTGGCTTCTATAATTGATTCCTGCTGATCAGGAACAGCCACGGACACATCTACGCTTTCTGCTGCATCCTGATGTTAACACAAGCAGATCATCATTAATTATTGAACCCTAATTGATTACTTTCAGGGGCTGAAAAACCTGGCTAGTGGCTGAAGATAAAATACTTTTGACATTTAAGCACCTCAAGTTCTAATTAGTTCCCTTCAAGTTGAATTATTTAATGAAGGTAGATAATCATTGTAAGAAAAAGTATTACCTTTTGTGCTGACAAATTGTATGAAAAGTCTTGACTAAATGAATCTTCTAGATACAATTCTTTTGTGGCAATATTTAAAGCATCTTCATTGTAGCTGGTTTGCAGGGTGTTAGTGCTTTCTTCTGGTAATTTCTCATTGACTTGCGCACTAAAACAAGAGGTGAAAAGACTATAAGTGAATATGGTCCAATAATGTACAATAAATTATGATCCAACAGCACAACATTTGTTGCATACATATTTTAGCCAATAAAATACTTTGTTTTAACTTCTAGGTAAGTACCTCATGCATGTAATGTTAAATACAAAACTGAAACTCCTAAAGAAAATTTTTTAATTAACAAAGGGTTACTAGATCTCTATTATCATTTGTGTGGTGTGTAGCTTGTACTTTTTAGTACAACAATACTGTTTGAAGATTGTACTATTTCGTACTACAATTCTGTTTGTTTCTTTTACTATTTAGTATTAAAATACTGTTTGAAGCTTTTCATATTTAGTACTACAATACTGTTTGTTGTTTATACTATTTAGTACAACAGTTGATGCATTTGTTACCAAATAACATAGTTTAAATAATAAATGAGTAAAATATTTTCCCCAACCTTTCAGATTCCTGTTTAACCCCATCACTAGCTGGAGGCTTGTGTAGACCAGTTTTTTCAGCTGAAAGTTACAACAAATATGTAGGCGGAATAATGGAAGGGAAAATACTCTGTACTAGACGTTTCAAGGTTTGTTAGAAAAATCAGTTTGTTGGTGTATAAAACGGTGACATCAAAGATTAAAAAGACTAAAATGAAATAATTAGATTTTATAAAATTAAATGAAAAACTGTAAAGTGAAGTGATCTACATTTTTTTTTCGTTCTTAGAATTGGATTTTAAATTAAAAGTCATATGTTTTATTTATATTTTTATACCAAACAAAAAGATAGAAACTTAAATTCATCTTAGATAACTTCAGTACCATCTTCACCATTTATACACAATGTACGTACAGTTTAATACAAAGGTGACAAAATGTAACAATAATACAGATCAGGTCACTGCCCCACAGTTGAAATTTATTCCATGTGTGTGTGTACGACACTCACACATGCCAAGAGGGGACCTGCTAAATTTGGACCTACTAAATGTGGACCTACTAAATGTGGACCTACTAAATGTGGACCTACTAAATGTGGACCTAGTTATATCTACTGATAGGAGACCCACTGAAAAGCACCTATTGAAAGTGGACCTAAAATGAGAGGACCTACTAAGAGCACATAAAGGGAGGACTGCTGAGAAAAGACCTAACATTGGAGGACCTAGAGCATTTAGACCTACTAATACCTGCTAAAAGAGGACCTACAGAAAGATAATTCTGAGAAAGGAGATATTAAGAATGGACATGCTAAGAGAATGAATAGCTACTAAGACCTACTGAATGAGGGACTACTAAGAGATGACCTACTGAGTAGCAGCTAACTGAGAGGGAATCACCCAGAGAGGACCTAAAGGACCTACCAATCCTTGAATACCTAGAGTAAATGTTAATCTGGTTAGTAAACCTGCACACAAATAACCTAAGGCATATGAAAACTACACTTAGTATTGTAAACAATAATTTACAACTTAGCTTTGTGACAAAATCAAACAAAAACCAGAACAAATATTTTATATTAAAAACATGGATGTTAAAATTGAAAGATTATTTCAAATATTACTTTTAATTCCATGTTATTAAAACAAAAAAGGAAACACAAAAACTAAAGACACAATTATAATCATTTGGCATAAAAACTAAAGTATGCTGCAAAATATTTAAAAAGATTCCTTTAGCACAAAAACTACCCTGTCAATGTGCCAAATCAAGACAACAGCATGTGAACTTTGAACCCTAGGGTGAGCGCTTGTTTGCTCTCCTACTCAACAATATTTTAGCATTACATTTTTAAAATTTCTTAGTAGAATATTTTATTGTTCTTTAAAAATAATTAGACTCATTCCTTCTCATTAAAAATATCAACTTGTTAGAGGCTAACGTGTTAAAAGATAGGTATGTATTAGGAAATATAATCTTATATAAAATGCATAAAAAGTTTAAGATTAAACCTCTTGTTTTTTACAAGAACAAAGTTGGACAAATTGTAAACAGACCTGTTATTTGTTCCACCTCTACGAATACAGCCTACATCTAATCACAAATCCTCTAACTCCAGAATATTTTTTTATCTTTAACATGTTAAATTTCACATCCCGGATTAAAAATCTTTTGATTGTCCGGTACCTTAGTGAAACTTTTTATTCTGTCAGTGGCTGACTATCAACCAAACAACAGCTAAGAGCCACTGAAGTGAACACCATAAATTTAGATCAAGCCGTCTGCCATAAATCCTGTCCCAGTTTACACAGCTGTTATATGGCCATATGAATAACTCATAAATTAGCCACAACACTACTCAAGTTCAGGCAATGTTGCCATTGCGATAACAAATTTGTTATAGATTTTTCACATTTCTAGAACAAACTCACATCCTAAATATGTATAGTACATATTTTAGTGAGCGTATATAAAGTATTCAAGTGAAACTAAATCCAGCACAGTTTTATACATTTAGTTAACATATAAACAGTAAGTTAATTATAAACGATATTTGAGTAAAAACAGATAAAAATCAAATTCTTAGTTTGAATGATTTATCACTTTTATCAAACACCTACTAACATTGAAATTTATTATTTATTTCAGTGTTCTAAATGCAACATGTATTCACAATCACAATCTACACTTTATACACTTAGTAAAACAGAAGATTTCTCCCCAGCTAAAATTTAAAAAATCACACTCTAATTACAAGGAGCTTTCATTGACTAAGTTTATTTCTGTGTACAAGCAGGTTCAGTGTGTAATAAAATGTACACATGGGACAAATCCCTAGCAGAAACAAATCTCCCAATCATTTGATTTATTGATTATTGATTATTGGACTGGCCATGCTTTGCTCTGATTAGATAGGTAGCCACTAGCTAGTGGGGTGAGGGGGGGAGTGGTGTGTGATGGTGAAAGCGCCAAAGCTTTGTGAGGGTGGGGGAAAGTGATTCAACTCACTAGTCAGAAATAGAACATTTACTAATGGCAACATACCTGCTTAACTTCAGCTGTTAGCGTAGGTGGGGGGGGGGGGGGGGTGGCAAATATAGTTTAGGTAAAGATGAAACATTGTGGTAAAGAAAGATAAAATATTGTGGTAAAGAAAGATGAAATATTGTGGTACATATTTTGAGTTACTATAAAAATATTCATTATTGATTTTACTTAAAGAAGATATAGTTAGTGTGATATGGCTAGTGTGATATGGCTAGTGTGATATGGTTAGTGTGATATGGTTAGTGTGATATGGTTAGTGTGATATGGTTAGTGTGATATGGTTAGTGTGATATGGTTAGTGTGATATGGTTAGTGTGATATGGTTAGGTTGACATGGTTAGGTTGACATGGTTAGTGTTATGGTTAGTAATTGTTAATATGAATATTATTTTTGCTGTTTCTTGTTTAACTACATGTCACATAAAAAATTTAGAATTATTATCCTCTTCTTTTTGTTTTTAACGCAATGTCTATAATTAAACATACCAATTTTCTAGTTAATAAAAAATCAATATGTAGCAAACAAAGAACTACAAAACAAGAATCAAACAAGGTTTTTAAATCTTGTAAATTAATAGAAATATTCATTATAGGTAACATTGTCTGACCAAGTTATCACCAGTCTACTTGATTCCACAAGTTTCGTAAACAAATATAAACTTCAAAAAGTTTGCAAAAACCCACAGGAAATGTACACTAACTATAGAAATTTGCGGAAAAAAGCTTTACTCTATAGTGAAAATGTTATTTCTGCTTTCAGAGGATCAACCTGTTCATGAGCAGCTAGAAAACAATTTTGTTTTTGTTTTAAATAAAACATCAATAAATAAATCCCTACAGATTATAGTAAACAAATAGATATATATTTAAAATTACCTAATTTAGTTTGGAAAATAATATGCATTAATTAAATGCATTAATTAATTAACACAGGATATAAATGGATTTTTTTCTCACAAAAACTGTTAATCCTTTTATGCAAAATAAATTGTACAATAAATATACATTAGATTATTTTCTTATAGTTCTAGATAGTAAAATTTAGGCTTCTGCTAAAGCAATGATTTCTAATTTTGACTATTGTTATAGAAGAAATAAAACCCAAGCCCTGAATAAATTATTTAAAAAATTTAAACTCACCCGAAGTTGTGGGTGCTACAAAAGTCAAAAATTCTTTTGGGAGTTCACTGGGTTGGGAGACAGAACTTTTTCGGATGTTTTTCCAAAATTTCTGGAGATCAAACAATGCAATGTCAAAAAAAAACTTTTTAAAAATTCTCAAATTTTTTACCGTAGCAGTTCTAGTCCTGAACATTCTTAGTTTAGCTGACAATGAACAAAAGTGTCAGTCTAAACATTGGTTACTGATTTTTAAAAAAAATATCAATCAACCAGCCAATTTTTCTCTTTCCAATCGATAGCATTACTGATTACTTAAAATCTTTACTTTATCTTAACTTTCATTTTGTAATAAAATTTTCTAACCCATTTTTTAATTAATTGTTAACTGTAGAAAATATCTAACATGTAAAAATTATACTCAAATAATTCTACAAATTAAAAGCAAAATGAAAATTACAGTTGTCAAACTGAACAGCTATAGATCTAGTATACTAAAAATTTATATCTTTTTATAACAGGACTTATTTATAATTTTTAAGCCAGACAGAAAATATAAATTAAAAACAGAGGTGACAACTACTGATACTTAACCTAAGCAAATAAACTATTTAAAAATGGATTGTACAGCAATTAAAAGTGTTTTATTTGGCAATAGTTTACAGACTATAAAAGCCTATCTTGTATTCAAGTGGATGATTTATTGATCTGTCTGTATCAGTTAAGGATAACTGTTTTGCTACTTGTACACTTGAAATTGCAAAATTAAATATATTAAGAAAAATATAAATTAATTAAGTACCATGTGATCTGTAACTAAAGAAGTGTGAGAAAAAAGTTTTCCCACATAATTTATTGATTTAAGAAATAGGATGGCTAAAATGAGAATATGCCCTAAAATATAAATATTTGTAGTGTAAAAGACAAATCTATTTTTAATAACATATGTCTTACAAAATTGCACAGGTCTTCCCCTCCCTCACCTAAGTGGTTTGTTAATTGCCTAAGATTTTTTAATGAGTTACAGAATGACATGTTAAAATACACATTCATACACAATAATCATTGTTACTTGTTAGACTAAAAAAGCCTTTAAAAAACAGGAAACTAAAAACAAACATGTGGAAATTAAATAAAAATAAAGGGCAGTAACAAAAAAGTTTTCGAAAGTAGGTTAGTACCACACATTGAATGTAAACTTTGAACAACTATACTACAAATTATAAACAAACTTACATGATCATAGATAGAATCCATGAAGTCGATTCTGCAGAACAAAAAAATAATTAGTTTAGTAGGTTCAATTCTGTTTTACAATTTTTATTTCTTGCACACAACAATCAATCTAATGGGGAAAAAATGTTAACATTTATATGTAGAATGGAGGACATTTTTATTAAAGATTACCCATTTTCTAATGGCAACTATAGCAGCATCATCAGCAAATTGTCCACAATATTTTGGTCCAGTGATAATTTTTTTTACTAAGGTTTTGTATGAATACAAAAGGTTGTCATGACATAAAGACCTGCCCATCTTCTCTTAGCAACAAGTACATAATATTCTGGTCCAGTATTATTTTTAAAATTAAGTTTTAAATAAAAAAAAATTGTTAAGACTTGGAGACCTACCCATCCTCTCCTGGCAACAAATGCTGCACCATCACCATATTGTCCACAACATTCTGGTCCATGAGTGTTGTACTGTGGCTAGCTGCTTGCACTGGTCTGGTGTTCTTGTCACTTTCCTGTTGGATCACCAAAACATCAGAACATTAGAGGAAATTACAACATCACCAAAACATCCAAACATTAGAGGAAATTACAACATCACCAAAACATCCAAACATTAGAAGGAATTACAACCTCACCAAAATATCCAAACAATACAAGAAATTACAACATCACCAAAACATCCAAACATTAGAAGAAATTACAACATCACCAAAACATACAAACATTACAAGAAATTACAACATCACCAAAATATCCAAACAATAGAAGAAATTACAACATCACCAAAACATCCAAACATTAGAAGAAATTACAACATCACCAAAACATACAAACATTACAAGAAATTACAACATCACTAAAACATCCAAACAATACAAGAAATTACAACATCACCAAAATATCCAAACATTAGAAGAAATTACAACATCACCAAAACATCCAAACAATAGAAGAAATTACAACATCACCAAAATATCCAAACATTAGAAGAAATTACAACATCACCAAAATATCCAAACATTACAAGAAATTACAACATCACCAAAACATCCAAACATTAGAAGAAATTACAACTTCCATGAGAATAGAAAATAGCAAACAAATTATAACAACGTGTTATAACATTAGGAAGTTATAAACAAACAAATCATCTGAGGATGTTGGTTAGCAGGGAGAATGTTTAAGACATGTAACATTATGTTTCTGCAATCAACCTTTTTACTGCAGGATACAGTGTTGGAGACTGTATCACACTGTGTTACTTTGGACTGTCCAAAATAATACCAGAAGCAGTGCCAGAAAGACTATTACAAACAACACTTGGCATTAATGTGTGGTAATAAGTTGTGTGATTAAGCCTACTATAACTAACGCAAAGGTTTCTGGTTGAAAGACTAGTCACAGCTCATTTTTAAGTTAGTTTTAATGAAATCCATCTTTAGTGGTAAAGTTCTCTTTTATACCCTGACAGTCCACAGAAAAAAGGAAGTAGAGTTCACCTGTTTCTGTGATCTCAGCATATAAAGGGATAGTGTGACCAGCACTACACCCAGTCGCCTTTACTTTTTCTAATGTGAATGAGTTATCCATCAGAGCTGGGTGGACTTAGGGACAGTCTTTGAACCCGGGTTCAAATTCAAGAATCTCAGGTTAGCAGTCTAGCACTCTACTGCTAGGCCACACTGTCCCATTCTTTAATACTAACGTAGACTTATTTTAAGGAAATAAGTCAGAGCTGAAATTGGTCTACTGTGAAACTGAACTTAATTATAAATATACACCTACACATAAAAAATAAATGTATTGAGCTTTCATGTATAGGGAAGTGAAAAACACCATTTACTCAAAAATTGCTAGGTATTTAAAGCTAAAACTGACCTTCTGAGTTTTCCATTTTTCTTGAGTTGTAATTGGTGCAGTTTTAGGTCGCTTTCCAGCACTAGTTGTCCCAGAAGTTCTTTGGTTAGGTTTGTACCATTTCTTCAGATAGGTGTGGCACCCAAATTTTGTTTTAGACCATCTAAACATTCAGAAAACAAATTAAAAATGAAAACCAAAATCAGATTAAGAGACTCAGTGATCTGTGGGCACTCCAGGAACACCTCTTCATCTCAAGTATATTAAAGATTCTTTACCATGTTTTTCTACACCCATCTTCTATTGCTATATTTTCTTTAATAAAAATCTTATATCTGAGCTCAACACAATTTGCATTCATCTACATCTTATGCTGATTATTAACCCTCTTTTCAAGTACTTGCTACAAACATTAGTCTAGGTTAATTGGCCTCTATAATTGGGAAGCTACTCTAGCTAGAAGGTAATTTAATAATAACCACCCAGGAGACTATTAGAAATAAGATGTATAAATAACTTCTAAGCAAATAAAAAAGAGGACTGTCAAAGTTTGGATTTGACCTACTTATATCTCACTGATATGAGCTACTTATATAACACTGACATGACCTACTTATATCTCACTGACATGACCTACTTATATATATATATATATATATCACTGAAATGACCTACTTATATCTCATTGACATGACCTACTTACATCTCACTGACATGACTTACTTATATCTAACTGATATGACCTACTTATATCTTACTGAAATGACCTATTTATATCTCACTGAAATGACCTACTTATATCTCACTGAAATGACCTACTTATATCTCACTGTGTCTGGCTGAATTTTCCCCCGCCAATCCACACCTGCAGATTTACACCTTTGTTTTGTTGGTTTGGATGGGACAGGCGTGTGTACAGCGTCGTCAATTCTAGTGAAGGAACTGTTGGGGGTGGTTTGTGGTCTTGACGTCTCATGCTGTCTAAAGAAGATGAACAAAAATTGTATCAGTTGAATTAAGGGGTTAGGCGCGGTAAAAAAAAACAACTTTTTAAATAATTCTCTAATACTTGTTAGAAAGCAATTATTTCTTTAAAGCTTTTTAAGGTACATCCACATATGTGCTTTCACTAAAAAAAATTTTCAAATTTGTTTCTGTTCCAAACACGTAATTTTGGGAAATTTTGGGTCATTAAAACTAGTGTTTTTAACGGACCCACAATTTGAAAATTCATAAAAAATTAGTTTGAAGATATCCACTTAAATTTTTTAGCTGAGTACCCCAAAAATATGGTAGAAGATTATGAATTCATTGTTTATTGGGCTTAAAATATAATAATTTATGAATGGTAGAAAACCTACGAAGCGGTTAATTTTCAAGATGGCCGCTTTTGTCATAGTTACCACTATTTTTTTTTTAGTGTAAACACATATGCAGATGTACCTTAAAACAGCTTTCAAGAAACAATTGTTTCCTAACAAGTATTAAAAAAATAATTTTTTTTACCGGAGCCTACCCCCTAAAAAAAGAATTAATTGACTAATTCTTTTAAAAATATAAATGACAAAGTTGGCCAAAAACACACACTGCTAAGATTCCAAATAAAGAGGAACAGCATTGATTTTTTTTCATGATTCAATACCCCAGACAGTGAGTGTGATAAATAATTCTTAAAGGTTTTAAAAATCATAAAACACTTACTCAAGGGCAATAACTTGTGGTGTATTTGTTATATCTTGAATTAAACCAGAATCTACCGAAGAGATTGTCTCCCTTGGGGTTATAAATCCAGTTACTGATGGCTGTCTGAAGCCATATTGGGGTTGGGGAGTCAGCTGAAAATAGATTTTTTGTATGTCAGGTTAAGACTGAGTGATCGGTAGAGTTTCTTTTGGGCCCAACAGAATAGAAAAATATATAATTTAAATAGAAACTATATAGGCCCAACAGAATAGAAAAATATATAATTTAAATAGAAACTATATAGGCCGAACATAATAGAAAAATATATAATTTAAATAGAAACAATATATTGGCCTAACAGAATAGAAAAATATATAATTTAAATAGAAACAATATATTGGCCTAACAGAATAGAAAAATATATATAATTTAAATAGAAATTATATAGGCCCAACAGAATAGAAAAATATATAATTAAAATAGAAACTATATAAATGTTTTAACCATTGTCTACCTGCCCCCCTCCCCCCACCTCTTTATATTTCTCCAATTTTTAAAGATTAAACATTAAATAATCATTAATTGTCTATTCATTAAAAGTAAATAAGTGGTAGAATTACCTTTTACCTGTATTATAGATACCGTTTTAATTAAAAAATTAAATAAGAGGAAGAGTTACCTTTTCTCTGTAGTAATTCATACCGTCTTTGACCGTGTCAATAGCAGTGACCACCATATTTAACTTGACCCCTGTGTCTGGTCCACTTCGTACATCCGGCAAGCTGCATTAAATGACATTTTAAAATGGCAAGCTGCATTAATTGACATTTTAAAATGGCAAGCTGCATTAAATGACATTTTAAAATGGCAAGCTGCATTAAATGACATTTTAAAATGGCAAGCTGCATTAAATGACATTTTAAAATGGCAAGCTGCATTAAATGACATTTTACAATTGACTACAAATAGCAATAGAAACCTCTGCTCTTTTAAATTTTAATGATTTTTAAAAATTTTAAAAGATCTAGAGCCAATATTTACTCATTTTCCTGATTTTGTGACAGCTGATGTCCAAGTTTTGAAACCTGTCGAAACTGTTTGGCGCTAGATGGCACAGGTCCTGGGGGTTTGGAGGGAGTTTTGCAAGGAGCTGACTTGGCCCTGGCTGACATTCTGGACATGTTCCTTGTTGTGGGTCTCATGGAATCTGCCGTTTGATAAAACTCTTCCAGCGTCTGTTGCATGAAAATAGTTTCCTCATCTTCCATGGATCTGGGAGCTGAATGTTATGTAGAACAGCATGAAGAAAATTACAAGCTGATTTTTTAGTTTACACTTAAAGTAAACAAAACAAGCCATACACATTTTGATATAGACTAAAAAGCAGTGAGTGAGTTAGACCTTACACAGGCCAATATTTATCTGGCCAGTGATTGCAATGGTAGAGTGAATTATTGCTTTCAGGTCTGAAAATATATCACCAGACATGAATCTGTAAAAGTCTATGGGGGCTGAGTATAATGTTGGCCACAAAATGTCTTCATTTGTTAAGTTTGCCAAATTGCCTTATTGAACATCAAGTCTGAAATGGTACTTTACTTCTGTTTTTAGCATCAGGATCATGTAGATCTATGTAGATATTAGGGAACACTGCCTTAAAGTTGTTATGTAAGATTATGACTCACATGTGTTTGGGGAAGTTAAAATCTTGACTTACATGTGTCTGGAGAATTTAAAATCTTGACATATTCTCTGAGTTGATCTCTGGTGTGAGCCTCAGGGAACTCAGCCTGACTGTGAGAGGAATACCTGACATCCAGGGGAGTTCCACTTCGACCTCCAAAACTCAAAGTGCCTGAAACAACACGTGAAAATAAATAAAATGGCAGCTGCACTGAAGTAAACTTTTTCTATATATAGTAGGTATACTATTTTAAGAGTAAACTAGCCAGCTCAAAATTTCAACCAGACTTTTTGCTTGACTTAACATTATAATCTAGAGTGGCTTTCTACTTTCTAACCAATTATGTCTTGCCCATAGGATCTATTTTTCATGTATGCTTGCCAGGCTTGCAATCGTTCTGGTCGTGATGCCGATTTTACTCTTGCACTGATGGCTCTTTTGTCTGTGAAGTTTAAATTTGTTTGTACATTTTTATTGGACATGTTATTCACTTGTATTTAAAATGTAAACTGCTATCAACCGTACATAAAATTTTTATTAGAGAATTAATAAAAGGTATAGCCAAAGCATTAAATACATCTTCCACATATGAAATAGTGGGTAAACAGACATTTCTAAGCATAAAATAAGACATATTTTTGTTTGATTTATATTTCACAGTGTCACCTTTAGCAGTTTCTTCAGTGGACAGCTGCCTGTCAAACTGGACATGAGGGTTGACTAGGCTTGGTATGGGATGAATCATTGTGGTCACTCTTGACATACCTGTCCCTGGTTGCGTGTTCAGCTGCAAGCATTCATTTATCATGAACATCCATTTATAATCATTAACATGCAGCTAATCAAAGCAGTATTTTTTAAAAATTAATAGGATGATATAGCTACAGTGTAGATTTAAAACCTAAACTTGCTCTGTCTTTGGAGGATATTACAAATTTACAACATAAACTTGGTCTGTCTTTTAAGTAAGAGAATACAACAAGTATAAAACATTAACTTACTCTGTCTTGTGAGAAAATGTGACAAATATAAAATATAAACTTACTCTTTCTTTCAAGTTAGAGATTGTGACACTAATAGGTGCCTGAGACAGTGGTGGGGTTGATGGGACGTCATGAATGTTTGTGTCATTAATGACATTTTTCTCATCTTTTTCCTGTGATGTCTCCATGTTGACATCCTCATCTTCTACACCCCCATTCACAGTTAAATTTTCATTTGACACAGTTGTGATCTGTAAGTATTTTAGTGGAAAATAAAAAGAATGAATTAACAATAACAGTATTTTTATCATCATTATCTCTCTTTGTGCTTTACTAAGAATATTTTTAATCTAATTAAAAATAGTTAAAACTATGTTTTTAATAATCCATTTTATTTTTCTTCATTGAACTTTTTAGATATAATAAATGATGGATATTATAAAGATATTTTCAATTGTCTATGTAAGTACTTACTTTCTCTTGAAACTGTGTGATATTTTCATCAACTAGACCAGATTGGACTATCTTAGCATCTGCTTTCTCTTGATTTACTCTATTTCTTGTGGGTCTTGGAGTTGAAGCTTTCAGGAGAATTTTCTTTGCTTCTTCTTTCATAAGTTCCTTACCAAAGTGCTAAATTAAACAATAAAGAAACTATATAGCTAGAGCTTGAAGAAGATTAAATCATATTTACAACAGCAGTATGACTATGATGAAATTGCTAGAACACAAATATAAAAGTAGAAAAGACATACAGGTCCACAGTATAGCACGTGCTTGTTAGCCATGTACCAAATGTAGATCTGCCTAAGACCAGCCCTTTGCTCGTTAGAGCGTTTCCTAGTAAATCAAGTTTTATTAAAATAAATTAAATGAAATATTTAATTTATCTCTTAAAACAAGTTTAATGACATTACACAAATAAATAAATAATTTAATCAATATTTTAAATAACATTTCCAACTACACTTTTCTATAATTTTTCTTTCAAGTCATTAAATAAAATGAAAATTATTAACAATTATGCTGTTAGTTAAAATTGTTATCAAGATAACTTTGTGTTATTTATTTCATGAATTTCAAAGCTTACTGTTTAACTTCACAAAGCATTTTTGTAAGAATGTTGTAGAACTTGGTGTCTCTGACTGCTTGCTCCCTGGTAGATTAAAAAAAAACACAGCATGTTTAATAAACAATCTAGTAATTAATTTATGTACACAACAATAACTTTCCTTTATTAGGCTGTCATTTGTAAAAAATGAAAACATAAATATAAAAGCACTGTCATTACTTAATTAGTGAAAAATAAATTTCATCTAATTCAATTTACATAAATTGATATTTATGCTGTCTTATATTTTGTAAAGAAACTAAAGTATTAAAATGTCATTTGAAGAAATGAATAACGTATGAATTAAATTAGGAGACAAAAAAAGAGTTATAGGCCTACTGTAAGTCTTTGGCTATTCCAGTTAGATGAGCAAATTTGAGATCATTGTGGTGCTTCTCAATAGCACCATACATGTTCTTGAATTCAGGGACTATCATCAGCTGCAATACAAGTAATTATTTTTTGGTTAAAGTTTCTTTATTAATTTTTATTGCATTAGCTTATACCGTTGAAGAGGCCTCCTGTAACATGAGATGAGAAATAATTATTTGATTAAAATAACAATCTAATTTATTAAGGAATTATAACTACACTAAAAAATACAGAGATAATATTAAATTTCTACTAACTTGTTAAAGATAACAGCAGTACAAGGAAATTATATGTTGACACAAATTGATTCTATGCACCTCAGTAAATCTTACGCTAAGAGTGCATAATTACTAACTAAAACTGTATGACGTCGCTGAGTCCACTCAGTTCTAATTGTTACATGACTCACTTTAAGGAAAGTAAAGGCATAGTGCTGACCATACTAACCCTTCATATGGATCATCAGATTCAAAAAGGTAACTTTATTTAAAGCTTAGATCAACTTCATTTTTAGATTTGTAGAAAAATGTATTACCTGTGATCTACGTAAGAATTTTAATCCATTTTCAATGGCTTCCAAGCCACCAACAGCTTGATGACCAATAGTGGACATTTTAAAATTCAGTTGCAGTATCAAAATTTAAAGAATGTAGCCTATGTCCTGAAATATTAGAATTGAAATTGTATTTTGTTAAAAATATGCGACAACGAGACAAAAAATGTTTTTAAGCATAACAATCTAGCAAACACATCCCTATTGTAAAAATCTTGCAATTAACTAGCACTACTACTACCACTTTATGACTTTTAAATTTATAAATATAAATATAATAATGCCTAGGGCCTATAGATATAGGCCTAGGGCCTATATTTTTAAAAATATTAGGCCTATTTTAGACTATAGATCTAGGCAAGGCGTATAATTTTTTTTTTTTAGGTAGCCTACCACTTAACTTAGGCCTAATTTTATAATAATTTAATTTAATATAGGCCAATTGTTGGTAATCTATCGTTTTTAGGTGCATAAAATCGGCAGACGCTAGTAATGTGCGGAAAAGGTGCCTTATTGTTAATGCTTTAATAGAAGTAAATTCTGATATATTTGTGTCAAATATTAGAGATAACTGAATAATAAACCAAAATCAATGGCTAAATATATCAATACAGGCCAGAAATTAACTTTAAACAGAGGTGTTTGCGAGCAAGATTTGCTATAAACATTGGCCATCTGTAAGTAAGAGTGGTTTCCCCTGAATCTCTAACTATAATTTTACCAAAAAAAAAACCTAAACAAATGGCTGCTAAAAGTAAATAAGCTTGGCTGCATCTGATAAAAACATCGCTAGTCATTATTATACAGTTGCTTAAAAACAGCTAGATCTACATTAATTAAACTTTGATGATAATTATTTTTATAACTTTCAAAACATAAAAAAATCCTCTTTAAAATATGAAATAATTACTAAAATTTAATGAGTCACCTTTTTTTCACATTACTAGTCTCGGACGATTTTACGTAACTAAAACGATAGATTACCCAATTGTTTATTGATTATTGTAGTATTATTATTATTGTAATATTGTTGTTTAATGTTTAATTTAGTGTTAGTTTAACAGTCAACATCAACTAGATCTAGTCATTTTTTAATTTAGTAATTTTCGCCTCACCTTTTAAAAATATTAAAAGCAGATCCAAAGAAATTTACTCTCCAGGCATTTCTAATATTTACAACCAACGTATAGATCTATATATTACAAATATAGATCTAGCTCATCAAATGTAAACGTAAACAATAATGCATTATTTGCGCTTCTTCATTTTTTAATTGTTAAAAAATAGCGTTCTTGGCAACCATTTGATAAACATTATTACTTCCTTCCGGATTTTAAAAAAGTGTGCCGTCGCAAAAAAAATAATCGGAAAACAAAATATTTTTATTATTGTGATTTAGGCTATTTAATTAAGAGGTATTATTTTATAACATGTTAAAGTCTTATGAGTATTTGAAATGAAGCTAGAAATACACATTGAGAATCTTATTTATTCAGTTTTTGTGAAATAATTCAATCATGCAGCATTCAACCATAGTGTCGACAATATTTAAGTTTTTTGTTTGTTCAATTTAATTTAATCAAGAGTTATTAAGGGATAGATTCTAGAGAATCTAGAGACTAGATTCTAGAAGCTAGAATCTTTTCTGCGTATCAGGACATTCTAGAGCAGTGGTTCCCAACCTTTTTCGAGTTGCGACCCCCTTTTATAAAAATTAAGTGACCCGCGACCCCCATAGAATTAAAAAACAGAAATTAGTATGGAAATTAATAAGCACTAAAATAAGATTTTCTAGTAGACTTTCAATATATGAACTACTCTTGATAACTGTTTTAATAGCATGAGTAAAAATTGCATACTATTCACTAAACCTTCGTGGTTAAGTTTTTAATTAAAAAAAAATTGTTAACGCCAACCTATGTCATTATAATTATCTTAATTTTGTTTTTAATCGAAGAATAGTGTTGAAAATATATTCTCGAAAAGTCAATCAATTTTACGTTTGGGTATGAATGGTGAATACTACACCAAAATTGTCTCTGCAGTTTTTCATCTTACACGGAATAATTCTGCAAATCAAAGAATTCATCTTGTAATTCATCGGGAATGCTGGCAACATCAAGGGAAGAAGAGAATGGGTAATGCGTAAATGCAGATTCTTTTTTCAGCTCAGAGAAATAGCGATACAGTTCGTTTTCAAGAGATTCAAGATGCCCAGAAATCGCTTCTTTCAAAATTTTAATTATCTCACAATCAGATTCATCTACCACACCGCAGAGTTTCTCAAATTTACAATATTTCCAAGATTTGTTTTCTTTACCGATTTTGCAGCTTTGATAAAAATGCCCCGAGATTATCATGGAAAGTTATAATATTCGTTCATTTTCCATGAAGCTTCAGGTTAAGCTTATCTTGATGTTCGAACATATCTGCTAGGTTTGATACTCTCTCCAACCACTCTATGTCGTTTTAAGTATACCAAAAAGTCTTGTTTCCTTTGCACTCCCAAGAACAATTTGATTTCAAATTTCAATTCAAAAACACAATTTATAACATTTCGTTTGACAGCCAGCGTACTGTAGGGTAGAAGAGCAGAACCTCGTGATCTATATTAATGTTTTTGCTCAGTTCTTTGAAGGCTCCAGATTTTATATAATTTACGACTTAAACTAGCAATGGACTCTTGATGTCGATTGGTTAGGGTAGTGGTTAGGGAGCTAAGTCTTTTCTGTTTTCTGAAAGCCCGATTTTGAGCTAAACATAGATGGCGCACCATCCGTACAAACCCCCACAGCCGTTCTAACCCAATTTAATCATCCAGTTTCAAAAAAAGATATTTATTTTCTCCATGCTATTTTCACAAAAGAGCAACTCTTTCATTTTTGCTATCATCCGCATGAATATAGACACAGACCAGCAACTGCGAACACGAACTCACGTCTGTTGATTTATCATCTTGAAAAGCAAACAATGGTGAAAGCTTAACTTCAATAAAAATGTGTTATTTAACATTTACGTACATGCAGCGTTTGATGAGATTTTCTCCTATTGTTTTTTTTTTTTTTTTTTTTTTTTGCTTGGCATTTTCTATCGCGACTTCATTTGATGCTTGCACTAATGCTGGTGAAAACTTCCTGTTCGATCAAGTCTCTGGCGTTTGCAACTAGCTTCTTATCGACGAAGGAACTCCATATATTTTTTGGTGTGTTCCGAATGACTCGTCTCAAATGACGTTTTAGTTTTGAAGATTTCATAGATTCGTGACTGAGAACAACTCTGTACAGTGCGCTTTGTTTCTTCTCTATTACATTTCCAGTGATGTTAATGAAGCCGAATTTCGAAACTTCTTCTAAATATTTATGTTTTGTTTCAAATTACTAAGGTTTAGTATACCAGTTGGCGACCCCCGAGAAAGACCTTCGCGACACCCAGGTTGGGAACCCGTGTTCTAGAGTGTAGAAATTCTACAGCAAGACATAGATCTAGATGTTTTTTTGCAGAATAAGTATCGTGTTGACTTTCTTGTGATAGATTTATGATAATGCAATAATATCCAAACAGCTAGAATCTAGTATTAAAAAAAGACAAGACTAATCCGATCGCTTGACCAAAGCAAGACGTTATATATTGATCTATATATATATATATATATATATATATATATATATATATATATATATATGTATATATATATATATATATATATATACTAGCTGCATCCCGTGCTCCGCCACGGTAAATCTTTTTTAAATGTACCAACTTTGGAAAAGAACAAAACAAACAAAAACAACACAAACACAAAAAACACAACCACAAACACAACACAACCACAACACAACCACAACACAACCACAACACAACCACAACACAACCACAACACAACCACAACACAACCACAACACAACCACAACACAACCACAACACAACCACAACAAAACCACAACACAACCACAACACAACCACAACAAAACTACAACACAACCACAATACAACCACAACACAACCACAACCACAACACAACCACAACAAAACTACAACACAACTTCAACACAACCACAACACAGCCACAACACAACCACAACACAACCACAACCACAACCACAACTACAACACAACCACAACCACAACAAAAACACAACCACAACACAGCCACAACGCAACCACAAAACAACCACAACACAACCAAAAATCAACCACAACACAACCACAACACAACCACAACACAACCAAAAAACAACCACAACACAACCAAAAAACAACCACAACACAACCACAACACAACCAAAAAAAAACAACAACACAACCACAACATTAGAATCACCACCAAACAACACGCTTTTTTAGGCGTCCGCGCCCAAAGAGAGCCTTTCCAACATTAAAAATTTAAGTCACATAAATAGATCCTACTCCATAACTTACAATAAAACAATGCGATGCAAATGAATGTACGGCAAGTGGTGTTTACTTTTATGGTTCTAAGAAAACACATTGGCAATGTAATTAGAATTACCACCGAAAAACACGCTTTTCCCAGACGTCCGCGCCTAGAGAGAGTCTTTCCAGCATTCTCTATACTATAATTATAAAATTTCACCATCTGTTAACACCAAAAAACAAAAACAAAAAATAGTGATTTTGAGAAATCATAGACTAATTAGAAAATAATATAAATAATCTTAACATTTTTCTCTTTTAATTATGAACCTTAACATAGACTAATCAATGCGGTAGTAATAAAAAAAAGATTAAGTTAAATTATTGTTGAGTTAAATATATTTTCAAATTACCTCCCTTGAAAAAATTACCACAAAAAAAAAAGTTGAATTAATTAGTTTTTTCGACCTACTTTTATGGAAATGTATCCATTTTTTCTAGGAATATAAACTAAAATGATATTTGACATTGATTTTTTAAATATGTTTTAGCAATGTGCGAATATTTAATATTTTCATAACGTTATGCAAAAAAGTAAACACAGTGGCATTTATAAAATAGCTCTATGCCGTTATATAAACGAACCCTACTCTATTACTTATAATAAGACACGGCGGTGCACTGAAAAGCACAGCATGGTGCGATGCTTACTTTTATGGTTCCAAAATCTATAGCGATGACAGAAGGAAGGAAGGAAGGAAGGACTGACACACGCTCAGCCCGCTTATATTATACTAGCTGCATCCCGTGCTCCGCCACGGTAAATCTTTTTTAAATGTACCAACTTTGGAACAGAACAAAACAAACAAAAACAACACAAACACAAAAAACACAACCACAACCACAACACAACCACAACACAACCACAACTTTAACACAGCCACAACACAACCACAACACAACCACAACACAACCAAAAAACAACCACAACACAACCACAACAAAACCACAACATAACCACAACACAACCACAACCACAAACAAAACACAACCACAACACAACCACAACTACAACACAACCACAACCACAACACAACCACAACAAAAACACAACCACAACACAACCACAACACAACCAAAAATCAACCAAAAATCAACCACAACACAACCAAAAAACAACCACAACACAACCACAACACAACCAAAAAAAAAAAAACAACACAACCACAACATTAGAATCACCACCAAACAACACGCTTTTTTAGGCGTCCGCGCCCAAAGAGAGCCTTTCCGACATTAAAAATTTAAGTCACATAAATAGATCCTACTCAATAACTTATAATAAAACAATGCGATGCAAATGAATGTACGGCAAGTGGTGTTTACTTTTATGGTTCTAAGAAAACACATTGGCAATGTAATTAGAATTACCACCGAAAAACACGCTTTTCCCAGGCGTCCGCGCCTAGAGAGAGTCTTTCCAGCATTCTCTATACTATAATTATAAAATTTCACCATCTGTTAACACCAAAAAACAAAAACAAAAAATAGTGATTTTGAGAAATCATAGACTAATTAGAAAATAATATAAATAATCTTAACATTTTTCTCTTTTAATTATGAACCTTAACATAGACTAATCAATGCGGTAGTAATAAAAAAAAGATTAACTTAAATTATTGTTGAGTTAAATATATTTTCAAATTACCTCCCTTGAAAAAATTACCACACAAAAAAAGTTGAATTAATTAGTTTTTTCGACCTACTTTTATGGAAATGTATCCATTTTTTCTGGGAACCTAAACGAAAATGATATTTGACATTAATCTTTTTAATACGTTTTAGCAGTTTGCGTGTATTTAATATTTTCTTGACGTTATGCGAAAGAGTAAAAACCGTGGCAATTATAAAATAG